ACATTGAAAGGACTGAAAAGTAAACATGAAGCTATTCGATTCAGATGGTGCCAGGTGTAGTTCGCGACATATGGGACTGAAAAGTAGTTCTCTCGTTCTGAGGTTCAGCAAGGTCAATACTCGTAGCCAGTGACATTTCCGATAAAATCCGGTTTATTTAATAAACTGTATATGGTTTCTGTAGTCAGAGATAAATCCGTTGAATGGGTGATTGGCCTGACATTGCTTCACCAGAGCCTCGTTAACCGTCCGTTTCAGGGTTCATGGTTGGTCTCGCTGCAACCGTAGTGGATGAGGTCAATGTAGTCCATCTTACTTCGTCCTGGCAATCATTCCCTTATATTAGATGTAGGAAGAAAAAGAAAAAAGATCAAGAAAAATTGTGTACTACTTAGACGATTTCTGACTTATTAAGCAGCTTCAGGTTGCTTTTAACTACCGCAATATGGTTTTTGACAATTATTTTCTGTTCAAACTGAGCTTTTTCAACATCGATATAAATGACGTCACAGATGCTCCACTTGCATTACTAACGGTTTTAAAACTGAGTAAGATTTGAAATAGAGTTTTCTCTTAATTAATAAACCAGACTTTATTCGATTTAAATCTATTGGGGTTTCCCCTTAATTTTTAATCGTTAGTGTTTCCTATCTTTTATATAAAGCAAATTTTGACTATGGAAAAAGCGGATGATTGAATAGCAAATGTGAGGTATATATTGAAAAGAAATATTTCCGCGAAGCGTCAGCTTCTGAAATGAAAGGTGAAAATGTTCATGGAGAGACGACAGTTTCTAAAATTGCGTTACGGCAAAACTCATAAAGTTTGTCACATGGACGCTGATGATTTCTGGCATTTGTCGATGGTTCTTTTGCATTCTGCTGATTTGATTGGCACGGTTCCGCTTGCCTCCTCGTATTCTAAAGAACTTGCCAATTATTGGTATATCTTTAATGAGAATGGGGCAAAAACTTGTCGCAGACGTCGAGTAAGAAACGTGAAAACAAGAATTCACACGTTAAATCAAAGTAATGGCTCCAGCTCGAAACTGGTTTCAAGATGTCAATGGAACTTGAGCGTTTTCGCTACGTCGCTTGGGATACAGTTTCTAACGCATAGCATGAGGCTTAGGCTGAGGTAGAAGCTGCTATTGATGGTGAGTCTCGATCGCCAGCCCATCGAGCATCAAATAGACGTTAAATAAACTAGTCTACCGATTCATTTTTTTGCCTTGATTATATAAAGTCAGAGGTCTTGATGCAAATTACTGTCAATGCAATCTGACCCGTACGCAGCAGTACATTTCCTAAGAAATCTTCAAAACCGGAGGTTTTTCATTTTCATTGCATTTCAAATAATTCGTATATACTATATATTGATCTATACTTTGAAAGATTTTGTTTTCGTTAGTAAGCATATAATTAGTCAATGATCATTAATTTGTTTGACTTGGCCAGTTTGATCACATGGATTTCAAAAAACCTAGCATTTTTGTGTGATATGCTATGAAAATTTTGAACGAACTTTAAATATTTGCCCTTTAATGTCACCATGTTCATCACAGCCCAACATTGTTTACGGGGTTTGACGTGTTTTCTACTTCATGATGTAATCTGGCTAGTCAACTGCCTTATTTAAAGGACACTTCTTTCAATGAATGCAAGAAAATGGACTAATTATTCAAAGACAAGGCGCAGTCTTCTGGCTATGAAAAATGCTTTCGTTGTAACGCTAAAGTCGATAAACCTGCATGGTGGGTATTTGGAATGAAAAATGTCCGCCACGGTTCAAAACCTGGTTTACAAGTGTATACGCAGCAGTGAGCTTGAGCGCCATCGTGCCCATTAGTCATTAAAGAAATCAAACCAGATGGCCAAAATAGCGAGACTTTGAAGTAACAATATGCTCCCGTCTTGTATATGCATTAGTTAACTTTCTGTCATTGCTAAAGGCGGGTGCTCAAATGTTACGCAGCTGTAGACTGCTTAAATGGTTCTTTTAGGCAACCTTCTAGGAAGAAGATGTCGGTGATGGGCAACACAAGCAACAAACAGGTTCAAATCTGCAATTGAAAATCTACAGTAACATCACTTTGCAAAATAGAACACGCTGTATCCATGAGTTCACAAGATAGAAGCAATGCTTAAAATGTTTTACTCTGTGTTCATCAAGAACCCAGATACTAAGAATGATGAACTGTGCGTAATCATTCATATTTACTGTTAGAATGTGCTTATAACAGACAAAGTATTTAAGCGGGCTTGAACGTGCTTATGCTGGTTGTCACTGATTACGAAATGAGAATTAGAAACAAGTTCAGCTTCAGTTCATCTAGAATGTTGCCTCATTTGGTTGTTGCTTTAAGTACATTATGCATAATCGACGGTTGAATTTATGGCAATCAGAATCTGAGTCGGTAAGTTTCTTTGATAATGGTAACTGCATGGGTTTCAACAACGCTTAATGCTGCTTACAGATAAGAGTGCAGCTTCTTCAAGAATTCTTCATAATGAAATTGAACAATTTCGGCTGCTTCACAAAATGATGCATCAAGAAACGCAAAACCCGCTACCTCGAATCAATTATATAATATTTAGAAGAAATTAAATGAATGCTAAGCATTCAGATCTAGCTTTATGCATTTGTATAATTAATTGTATAGCTGTATATTAATTTTAGTCCGCAATTATTACGAGAATAAACAAGGGCCACTTTTGATCCAGTTGTCCCAAATTTAGAACCTTAAGTTTAATATGCGTGACGCCAAAAACAGTTAGTTAGCAATTATTTGCCTCATATGCATTCTAAAACAAGTCTTGCGTAATTTGTTTTCGACTGTAGTACATTTTGAGGGTTCGATTTTATAGAAATAATGCTGATCGCGTTGTCTTTATAACTACTTTTGAGAATTTTGAGATTTGCAATGAGTCCTCTTCTAAAACTTTTCATTCCCTCTTCCCTCTGCGATAAAACATTTAAAAATTGCGTCAATCACTGGCTTTTGATTAGTTCTTGAAAAGTCATCCGCCGCATTAGTGTATATCACTTTTAGCAGGGCGTCTGACAGGCACAGTTTAGCAACCACGTTCAGTTTATCCGATCTAAGCTTTCTTCTTATGAATGAATAGTTCTATTCAGTTTCTGTGTTCAGTATCTGCTATTCTGTATTTGCGTATCATATTCCTCTTCTGCTTCTATGACACAGTTTCAAATTGTTTCCAAACAGATCGTGGACTGTAGCAGTGGCACTGAAAGAGGCCCCAATAGTCTAGGAGAGATATGGATGCGCACTTCAACGGCCATGAAAGAGTACCTTAATCGCCCAACGGAGACCAGCGAAACAATGAACAAGGACGGATGGATCAAATCAGGTGAGAAGCGAACGAAAGAGAGGTACAACGGCTGTTTCAAATTAATGTTGTTTGCATATTCAGGGGACATTGGCTTCATGGATGAAGAGAATAACCTGTTCGTGATTGACAGAATAAAGGAGTTGATCAAATACAAAGGAAACCAGGTAATAAAGTTTACGACCAGACCATAACTCATGGACATAATAAAATATGAAATTGTAATTTTAATAGATCGCTCCGGCCGAACTAGAATTCGTACTGCAGACGCATCCGGCGGTGTTCGATGTGGCCGTGGTCGGCGTGCCCCATCCGGTTGCTGGTGAAGTGCCTCGAGCATTCGTGGTTCGCAAATCCGGGTCAACGGTCAGCGAGGACGAGCTCTGCCAGTTCTTGAAAGGTTCGACTCCTCAGCGTCATGTTTATGGCTACGCAAACGTGAAATTATCAACAATTATGACTTTCAGTCAAGTCAACGTCTCCATGCCATTCGCATTGTCACCGTGTCACCAAAATGGCGTACACCAAGCGCCGTCTCGTTCGTTGTCCACTTTTGTTAACGGACACCATTCCACTTACAATGCTGATCGATTCCTCGTCAATCTTCTACAGTTCCTACGCAGATACGAGTCGAGTGATGAATTTACTGCTTTAAACTGATGGCTCATTCCACAACAGGGCAACAAAGCCAACAACAGGGCGCATTAAGCTGTACATTGTGACTAGGGCCCGTCTTGCAGTTGCCCCACTTGCACGTATTGCGTCAGCGTCATACAGTACACTTCGGAAAATCGATTTCTCATGGAACAGCTCTTACATACGCCCTGCATCGGTAGCATCAAAGGTCCCTGCTGGAACCTGCTGAATCTGTAAAATTTTTCACTCAGTAGATATGATGACGTTGCTTCTCAACTACACTAACGCTTTCGAAATGCCAACAAACGTAGTCAATGTCATGTGCATCCGCTTGGATAGGAGGCTTATTAGTCATGAATTTTAATACAAGTTGGAAAAAATGTCTGAATTCATTTTAGCAGCAAACGTTTGTTAATCAGGTAAGGTAAACGAAAGAAAAGAGCACTTACCATGGCACTTATTTATTGAAAACTCAAAGTATCTGGCTAAGCACAATTGATTCCACTTGCATCTCTGAAATCTGGTAGCGATGGACATATCAAAAGATCTTTTACAAACAATATTCATTAGCCGATAAAGGTTTAAAGGAAAGTCATGATTTATAACGATCACAACTCATAAGCCTGCTGAAATGATAAATACGCTTACGTTTAGTAAATGCGAAAAATCATCGGTGTTTACTCGTTCAGAAGTGAATTCATATCTAATTGTAACATCTCATCATTCAGGGAAAAGAGCAAAGGCTATTTCATAAAGTCACAAGGCACAAACTGAAAATAGACTTTCGTCACCGAAGCGCAAGGGCTCTGAAATTATAAAGCTTTGCAAGTAGAAGCTATTCTACGTCATGGCATGATGTTGCAGCAGTCTTAATCATACGCCGTGCTGTCTGTTGTGAATACCATGTTCGACCATCGAGGCGTTCATCAGCATATCTAGTATCTGATATATAGGGAAACTAATGCATAGAAGTCGATGATCGATTTGACAATCGTGTCGTCTGACTTACGGCGCTCTGTAGCGGTTGTTAAGAGAGGCGCAGAGCTGTTAACTAATCATCAACTCTGTGTGATGCCATCTGTTGCTAATGAAGGAACATCCGAAGAAAATACTTGGCCGCAGAAGCAACCAGACAATCACATTGGATACACTATCTTCTGCGAACACAAGTGTAAGCCTTGCAAACAGCATCGCATGACGATTTCAATAGATCCTGATGATGACAGCCGATCTGCAAACCGAGTCGAAGCTTATTAAAAGCGGTTTCTTCAGCGCTGCCCCCTGAAAGCTGCTGTAAAATGGGTTGGCCTACCGTTTAAAAATTATAAGCGAACTTTTTATTGAACATAAGAGGTTCATCTGACTATCAGCAAGAAATGCTACATTCAAAAGATGGTCTGCAAGTGAACAGCCTTTCAATTCGCATGCAGTACGAAGAAGCGTGCATGGAGGCAGCGAAATCAATAATCAATGCGAAAGCTGATTCCTGGAAAAAGTTCGGTGCATTTCTTGACGTCGAATTTCTAGCAGGCAAACAAGGTATTTTGGCAGACCATCCGCCGGCTCTGAGGTGAAAAGACGGGCAGTCTCAGAGTCTTG